AAGCATAGCAAAGGCATAGCAACATCAATCTTAGAACATAATGGATACTAGGGATCAAACCCTAACAAAACTAACTCGATTACATGGTAAATCTCATCTAACCCATCACCGTCCAGCAAGCCTATGATGGAATTACTCATGCACGGCGGTGAGCATCATGAAATTGGTGATGGAGGATGGTTGATGATGATGATGGTGACGGATTCCCCTCTCCGGAGCCCCGAACGAACTCCAAATCAGCCCTCCCGAGGAAGATTAGGGCTTGGCGGCGGCTCCGTATCGTAAAACGCGATGAATCCTTCTCTTTGATTTTTCCTCCCTGAAAGTGAATATATAGAGTTGGGGTTGAGGTCGGTGGAGTCCCAGGGGGCTACGAGGCAGGGGGCGCGCCCCAGGGGGGAGGGCGCCCTGCACCCTCATGGACAGGGTGTGGGCCCCCTGATGCTGATTCTTTCGCCAATAATTTTCATTAATTCCAAAACGTGTCTCAATGGATTTTCATGTCATTCCGAAAACTTTTATTTCTGCACAAAAATAACACCATTGCAGTTCTGCTGAAAACATCATCAGTCCGGGTTAATTCCATTCGAATCATGCAAGTTAGAGTCCAAAAGAAGGGCAAAAGTGTTTGGAAAAATAGATACGTTGGAGACGTATCATGGTGTTTTCTTAGGATCTTTTGCTAGCTAAGAATGCGTACTAAGTAGAGATACTACTTATGCATCCAAAAACCCTTAATCCCAGTTTCTTGCCATGAGTGTCCACCATACCTACTCATGGATTGAAGAAGATCTGTCAAGTAAGTTGTCATCGGTGCATAAAGCAATAAAAATTGCTCCTAGATATGTTTGATCTTTTATTATAAGAGAAAATTGAGCGTTGTACGAACTTGTGATGTCAAAGTAATAAAAGCGGCGGACTGCATAATAAAGGTTGCAATCATAAGGGGAAATATAATGTGACGTTCCTTTGCGTTAAGAGCTTGGGCATCCAAAAATTAAAAGCGCATGACAACCTCTGCTTACCTCTGCGAAGGGCCTATATTTTACTTTTCAGTATTTACTTTTATGCAAGAGTCAATGGTATACATCCTTATTCAACCTCAATTATTCTCTAGTTGGCAAGTATCATATGGTGGGGAAAGATCTAGGCACATATGGCCAGTCAAATATATTTTATCATGATTTATTATTGTTGACAATTATCTCTATGACAAATGAGTCGGGAGGAGAAACGTTAAGCCCCTATCTTTCTCTGTGTTCGATGGATGCCATTTGTTCTAAGAATATGCTTTGAGTACTAGCAATCGTGAAAGACTATATGATGATTGAGTATGTGGATCTCTTACGACTCTGTTGAATAAGTTGATTTACAATTGTTTGGTGACTAAGAATATAGGTTGTTGAGTTTCAAGAGAATTCATTGTTTGAACCTTAACATGTGAACTGGTTGCTACTTTATCATGACGAGTTTTATGAGAATGAGTAGCTGTTATGATGCTAGGAAAAGTGATTGAAATTATCATTGATTAAACTTGGGCACCTTGCTAGCATTCACACTTCATAAATTATTTCTTTTATCATTTACCTATTCGAGGACGAGTAGGAATTAAGCTTGGGGGTGCTGATACGTCTCCAACGTATCTATAATTTATTAAGTATTCATGCCGCTATATTATCATTCTTGGATGTTTTACAATCATTTTATAGTAACTTTATATAATTTTTTGGGACTAACCTATTGACATATTGCATAGTGCCACTTGTTGTTTTTTGTTTCTTTTTACTTCACGGGAAATCAATATCAAACGGAGTCCAAACGTAGCGAAACTTTTTGAAGAATTTTTTTGGACCAGAAGACCCAGGATGGGCCAAAGAAGTACCAGAGTGGAGGTCCGAGGTGGGCATGGGTTGTGCCCCCCTCGGTGACCTCCCGCACCACCTCTTCGCCCTATAAATTTCCAAATATTCCAGAACCCCCAAATATAACCCTATATCAGAAGTTTTGCCGCCGTAAGCCTCTGTAGCCATTAAAAAACCAATCTAGACCCCGTTCCGGTACTCTGCCGGAAGGGGAAATCATCACCGGTGGCCATCTTCATCATCTCGGCGGCCACCATGATGAGGAGGGAGTAGTCCACCCTCGGGGCTGAGGGTTTGTACCAGTAGCTATGTGTTTAATCTCTCTCTCTCTCTCTCTCTCTCTCGTGTTCTTGAGATGGCATGATCTTGATGTATCGCGGGCTTTGTTAATATAGTTGGATCATATGGTGTTTCTCCCTCTCTATCTTGTTGTGATGAATTGAGTTTTCCCTTTGAGATTTCATTTTATCGGATTGAATACTTTTATGGATGTGAGAGCACTTGATATATGTCTTGCATATGAATACCCGTGGTAACAATGGGGTATTATATTGATTCACTTGAGATATATTTTGGCGTTCAACTCACGGATTCCCGAGGTGACATTGGGGTAATCTATGAATAGGGGTTGATGCATGTTCTTGTCTTTTGTTTCTCCGGTAGAAATTTTGGGGCACTCTTTGAGGCTCTTTGTGTTGGATTGAGTATTATAAATCTGAATTTGTTTTGGTGTTATTTTAGTACGAACTCTTGATAGATAGATCGGAAAGAATAACTTGGTGTTACTTTAGTATGAACTCTTGATAGATCGATCGAAAAGAATAACTTGGTGTTATTCTAGTATGAACTCTTGATAGATCGATCACAAAGAATAACTTGGTGTTATTTTAGTACGAACTCTTGGATGGATAGATCAGAAAGAATAGCTACAAACAATTTCTTCTTATGTTCTCCGCTAGATAGGAACTTTGGAGTGATTCTTCATCGCACTTTGAGAGATGGTTATATAATCCAATTAGATTAGCATTGTTGAGAGATTGCACTAGCGAAAGTATGAACCCTAGGTCTCATTTTCAAGCATTGCAATACCGTTTGTGCTCACTTTTATCGTTTGCTACGTTGATGTTTTTATTTATTCAGATTATAAAAATATATTTCTACCATTTATATTACACTTTTATCACCATCTCTTCACCGAACTAGTGCATCTATACAATTTGCCATTGTATTGGATGTGTTGGGGGACACAATAGATTTCTTGTATTTGATTGCAGAGTTGTTTGAGAGAGACCATCATCATCCTATGCCTCTCACGGAATGATAAATCTTAGGTCATCCACTTAAGAGAAAATTGCTACTGTCCTACAAAACTGTGCGCTTGGGGGCCCAATACGAGTCTACAAGAATAAAGTTGCGTAGTAGACATCAGTGTCATCCTTAGGATTGGTAGATGTATGCTGATGAGCTTGGCACTGGTTAGGCTATGTGTTTTTTCCTTGTCCTCTAGGCGACCTTGGTCCTCCCCTTATATAGGCCTGGGGGTACCACAGTGGTCATCTAACCATGTGCGAATGAGTATGCAGAGTTGTAGGCATTGCGTGCAACCTGTCATTATCGGTAGTGAATGACCTGACACTGTTGAGTGTTAGGTGCTCGTATACTTTTGCTTGATGCGATGCGTCACACCGTTCTCCTTTGATTCAAAGTACGAGCTAAGGTCGGGTCACATCAGTCTGAACGATGAGACACTGCCCTAAATGGCTCAGGATGCTTGCCTTGGTCTTCGTCATGATGGCCTATCTTCATAGTCCTGTGGCGGTCTACGAGGGATAGCCCGGGTGGACATTAATGCCCGGTTGGTGGAGTGTTTTGCAAGGCCCCCTGCCATTGCGACACATGCCCTGGATGCTCGGCCTCTAGCCCCCGATTCCGTTACTGCTGGTGTCACCAGCTACCCGACGATCCTTTCTGGCAACTATGTTCGTAATACTCATGTACCTGTGTATGTCTTTGGGTGAAAAACAACGGTTGAAGGAAAATAATTTTCCCTTCTAGTTTTAGATATGTTCTTTTCCAAAGGAGCCACATTACCAAAAAAACAAGGATACCTCCATTCCCATTACTCCATCAATCACCTGTACTTTGTACTCCATCCGAAATCAACACAAACACAAGAAATAATGGTTTTATCTCTTAGGAGAGGCTGAACATGGATAAAACATGTGCCCCTGTTACCATCGTGTCAAGACAATTAGCTCGGGACCCCCTACCCGAGATCTGCCGAATTTGACTCCGTCGCCTAGGCACGTGCTGTCATGGGCAGATGATACGCTGACGCGGACTGAGTGGTCTCATCAGCCGTCAAGGGAAGGAAATAGGAAGGGGAATGTTGTGTCAGGTGACACGATGGGCCACGACAATCGAAGATGGTGGCCTAGTGCCTTAGTTGTTGATGGGACACTTGGTAGGTGGTTGGCACAAGAGGGTAGCAGATGGGTCGAGCAGGCGACGTCAGATGGGATGGCATTGGAGTGAAAGATGGGTCTCATGATATTAAGGAGGTATCACGGGAGTTGCCACCCCTTTTGCACGGGGGAGTTGGAGCGTTTTCTAGGGTCTGTGTGGTAAGGTGGCACGCTTCAATCTTCGTTGGTGTTTTCTTCCCGCCAGTCCGCTCAAGGCTGTACTATATCCGTAGCATAATTTATTATAAATTGTTTAGGAACGCTATGTCTTCCATTGATTTATCCACGAATCTTATAATTGGACGGCAACAATCTGTTTGAGATATAATGGACAAGGAGACGGCCTTGGATTCTATGCATCTTCTAGGACGATGATACCCCTGGGTGCCACTAAGAATGGAAGAAATGGGCAATTGATATCGTCGTAACGTAATTTATTAGAAAAAATATTACGATGGATATGCATGCCATTATTTTACTAGTACTAGTAGTTGTTCTCGGCAAGACTCTGGAAGAAGCGGTAAAGCCCATCCAGATCCAGGCGAACAGTCAGGAGACAAGATAACGCGGCCGCCGCTCTATTTCCCTTTCCGGCTTCCGAACCCTAGAGCTCCGGCGACGGTCGAGGCGACATCCCCGAGGTACCACCGATCCCCGATCCGAGGAGCAAGCGATGCCGCCAGGACGAGGACGGCGTGGCCGCACGGAGCAGCGCCACCCGCCGGAGACCGGCCGCCGCGACGAGGGTGCTCCGTCACGTCCCACGCCGCCGTTCCCCGCCTTCGCTTCTCAGGTCTGCTCTAGATCCCCTACTTTGATCTTTCATCGGTCCATGGAAGGGAATCGGGAGCCTGATTGAATGGGCCGTCCGCCTCTTGAATTTGCAGGGGATGAAGACGAGGAGGCCGAGGCAGCCGCCGCCGGCGAGCCTCCCCTTCGCCGAGATCCTGTCGCGGGTGCCCTACCGGTCGCTCTGCCGCTTCCGGTGCGTGTCCAAGGCGTGGCGAGTCCTCTGCTCCCACCGGGCCATCCAAAGGAGGGTGCCGCAGACCCTCTCCGGATTCTTCCACACCCACCACTCGGACGGCGGCCTCCGTTTCAGCAATCTGTCCGGGGGAGGCGCCCCTCTGGTCGACGCTTCGCTCCCTTTCCTCCGCAGGAGGTACGCGAGCGTCAAGCTCGAGCAATGCAGCAGCAGCCTTCTCCTCTGCAAATGCCGGGAATCCGAGGAAGACGAGGAATGCGATTACGTCGTGTGCAATCCTATGACCCGGCAGTGGACCGTGCTGCCTCCTATAGTATGGCAGGACGAAGAGGATGGTGAACCTGTGTATTTCAGAGTGGTGCAGCCCTTCCTGGGTTTCGACCCGGCCTTTCCATCTCGCTTTGTGGTGTTTTCGCCCCTGGTCGAGGTGTGCGACGATGTGGCGATATACTCGTCGGAAACTGGGCGATGGACTCGCAACAGTGAGTGGGGGGATAACAGCGAGTATCCTTCTTTTTCTGCAGAATGTGCCTTCCTGAATGGCATGATGCATTTTCTGCATCTGGTGATCGAGGAACCTTTAATTGCCGTAGTGGACACAGAGGGGGATGTTTGTGGGGAAATTACTCTGCCGGAAGGAATGGAAGACGCCAGTTCTGGTTATAGTTCAATTGGGTACTCTCAAGGGAAATTGCATGCCTGGTATATGCATCCTCATTATTACGAACTCTCTGTGTGGGTACTTGAGGATTATGCTAGTGAAAAGTGGACCCTAAAGCATACTGTTGACGTTCCAGAACTGTTTGGAAGGGAATCCACTGAAGAGGATTGTGACGAAGAGGACAGGACCTATAAGTATGAGATGTTTGCAATTCATCCAGAGCATAATTTGATTTTCCTTACTGACTGGAAGGAGGTGAATCTGTCCTATGATATGGATAGCAAGGAAGTGCATCTTATGTGCACTTCTGGAGATTTCCTGGGTGGCCTACCTTATATTCCCTCTTTTGCGGATCTGGTTGTTGGATGATTGCTGAAAGTCGCTACTGCTTGATGCACTTAACGGGTGGCACTAACGCCTTTGTAAAAATCAGTTGTTTGGTGTGTGCGCGCCTAATCTTCTAGTTCTGTGGCACAGGTTTGGATATGTGGTCCTATCGTTCCAAATTGTGCTTTTCAGGTGCATGCCTTTCGTGGCTTTGAACAATGTTGGTTAGCCGATGATGTTTTGTAGTGTTTGGATATGTCGCGGCTTTGAACAATGTTGGTTAGCCGTAGATATTTTGTAAGAGAGAAGCGGTCCAATGTGTAATGCTTAGTTGTATGAATGACCTAGTCCCCTATATATTTGCTTTCATGTAGTACTAACTGCTGCAACACTTCTTATCTGTTCACGTGGGCTGAATGTAAGCTTATGTTACCATGTTTAATATCCTTTACATTTTCTGCTCTTTATTTCTATCTATGTTGAATATTGATGACGCGCTTTTTTTTGTGCATTTGTAAATTTTAAAATGGTGGCATCTTTTACAGTAATAGGATGTGGCCTGCTGTTCTCTTTTGTATATTTGTTGCTGCATATACATAGTGTAAAGAAATGTTAATTTCATTTATGAATACTTCATCGCCTTCCATCGATGATTTTAAACAATATGGAGGTCTTTTATATAGATTGCACAATATGCAGCTTATCACATCTAATCAACATCATTATTTCTTTATTTTGTTCAGGAGAGAGAACAAAATAATTCTGTTTGTTGTTGCCAAGCCTAATTAAGCGCTCTTAAGTTTGCGGTTCGTTGCGTACTACTTATGCACTGGTGTGTTCCTAATCTTGTGTTTTAATTGAGTTGTCCATCAGGCCATGACCAATATTTTCCTACTTGGCACTATACTGTTGAATTTCTAGTCTGTTGTCAAACTAAACCTTTTTTGGAAGAATCTTCAGATTTTTGTTGACCATGATGTAGCTTAGTACATAATTTTGTTGTCAACTACCCAACATTCTGAACATTGTATTTAGTGCACATTGAATTCTGTTCAATATTTTTATTGTTGCCCAAAGGTTCCGAACTTCTCACTCTAAGGGGCTCTTTGCCGGGGACAGGCAAAATTAAACGGGTAAAAAAACTATGCCTTATCCGGGCATGACTTGTAAATTGAGCAAAGTTCTGCAATGTAGTAGTTGCTAGTTTGTTACTAGAAGCCCAGCTTTTATAACCGTTCTTTAAAATAAATAACCACATCAGATAAGTTATGCTGGTCCTGTCGGTTATTTCAAAATTAGTAATATGAACCTGGCATTTATAGGTAGTATGTACTACCTTCTCTTATTGCACCCACAGCCAATGGTGTACCCTTAAAATGATGTATCACTATGCTACATAGCATTACTGATAACTAGTCACTTTGTTTCCTATAACTATCTTTGGCCAGATTCCTATTTATTCAAAAACTACAATCACCTTTACCAGTTTGAAAGCATTTAAGAGTACAAATACAGCAGTAAACAATTCATTTTATTTTCTCAACTGGCAAATGTTTTGAAATGGATTCTTGGACAAAGACACTAATAGTGAGACGTGGGGAGGGACTAGCAATTTGTAGTTTGATGGCCCGTCTAGAATTAAGCTAGGCATTAAGAAAAACTAAACAATTACTCACTCCGATCCAAACATGAATTCTTCTATCTGAAATAACATCATATCTAAATTCCAAACAACGTTCTCAGTAATCCATGTTACCCATCTAAAACTTAACTAATCTGATGTAGATATGAGCACTGAGATACTACTAATTATTCTTTAAATGAATTCGGGATCGGCGCTGCTTCATGCATTTAAAGTGACCGCACTAACGCCTTTGTAAAAATCAGTTGTTGGGTGTGTGTGCCTAATCTTCTAGTTCCGTGGCGCTGATTGGATATGTCCTCATAGTATTCCTAAATGTGCTCTTCAGGTGCATGCCTTTTGTGGCTTTGAACGATGTTGGTTAGCCGTACATATTTTGCAAGCGACAAACGATCCAATGGGTAACGCTAAGTTGTATGAACGACCTAGTCACCTAATATATTTGCTTTCATGTAGTACTAACTGTTGTGGTCACTGGTCACTTGTGATCTGTTCGCGTGGCCTGAATTTGAGCTTACATTATCATGTTTACAGTTTAATATCCTTTACACCTTCTGCTCTTTATTTCCATCTATGCTGTATATTGATGAGACAAATGGTGGCATCTTTTACAGTAATAGAATATAATATATGTTGCTTGCGGTCTCTTCTATATAAATGTTGCTGCATATTTGGAGTGTAAAGAGATGTTAGTTTCATTTAGGAAACCTTCATAGTCTTCCGTCCATAGTGTCAAACAATATGGAGCTCTTTTATTTATAGATAGCACAATATGCAGCTTACCAGATCTAATGAACATAATTAGCTAAGAAAAAAAAATATGTTTGTAGCTAAGACTAAATAAGCACTATTTAAGTTTGCTGTTTGTCACAACTACTTATACACCCACTAGTGTGTTCCTATTCTGTATTGCCTATAAGGCTTTGCAGCCCATTGCAAGATAGGTTCAAGTGATTACCCATCTAGTTAACTAATCTCATGTAGATACGAGCAAGAGGTTTGCTGTCAAGGCTGACATACTACTAAATATTATTTAAATAAATTCTGGATGAGTGATATTTGTTCATACCTTCTTCAACTTTGCCCACAATCAAGAGTGCAGGAGTGGTTAAATCTCCTGTATTACTACTACTGCTGGCTTTGCTATTTTTAACCTTCCACAGATACTAAGAAAACACTCAATCTGAGAGAGGTGGTGAGAAATAGCCATGCATGGTCTCTCTCCTATCCTTTCTGCCAAAATAGCAGCCTTGCCGTCAAATGCATAAAAAGAAAACATGCAGGTGATCAGGCTTGGTTAGTTAGGCCCATGTGTCTAAAATAATAAACTGGTCCCTTGCTTTTACTGTTCAAATTTGGTAATCTTTCTCGACTCTATTTAGCATTTTGAGCTGTTATTTTATTCGACAGATAAAAATACCTCCCTATACATTCAATAAGTTTTCTGTACAAATAGCATTATTTGGGTAGGATCGATTTTATTAATAGCATAGTACCTGTGAATTACTGTGATCATAAGCCAATACAAAACTGTACAATCAAAATCCATATGACCACACATATCAGCTACAGGGTTCTACTAAAGTAGCCACCAATTACAAATATCTATTTCGGAAACATTATTTTACCCAGCAGTAAAGCATTTTGTTGCTCTCCATAGTCGTGCAACGCTGCCTAACATACAGTAGATGCCACACTCCAAATCAATGCATAAAGTACACCAGCCAAACCCAATGAGGTAAACAAACAAAATGGATGTATAAATGTTGTGCAGAATATTTCAACTTGTTTTTTCTGAAACGGAGACAAAATATATTCTTCCATTAATTGAGAAGTTTAAAGATGTTACAAACAACATAGATATACAAAGTCTCACTCTCTAGACATTAGTTTACCCAAATGCTTGGCACCCGCAATACTCCAAAGAACGGCCTTCTCCTTGATGATGGTGAGCAAAATTGGTGGTGGCATGGACTTGTGCTGAAACATCCATGAGTTGCGCTCGTTCCAGATGACCCAAGAGGATAGCATCGTGAGGGAGGCCATGACATTCCGATTGGGATGATGAGGCTCGGAGATACTGATCCACAAAACTTTGATGGAAGTGATGGTGCTCCATGATGAAGGTTCAACAGAGTGGAGATGGAGCCACTCTTTAATCATGCCTCGATGCGTAATGGTGAAGCGACACTTGAAGAAGAGATGATCAACGGATTCGGGTCCCTCTTGAAAAGTGGACACATGCCATAGTTTGGCCCACCCTTTTTTCAGATCTATCAGTGGTCCAAACTCGACTTTGGATGGCCAACCATGCAATTTTTTTACTTCCAATGTGCCCCAAAGTTTTCCACACTACCAAGTCCATGCACGAAGTAATGAGGCCACGAAATTCTGCTTTATTAGGGGAGGCCGCCAAGTAGTGCCTGCTAGCCTTATGCTTCCATGTGATGTCGTCCTTTATGCCCATCCTGACATGGACCTCGCACAAGTTGGCCCAAAGGAACACAATTTAGCGGATGTGCTCAGTAGTCCAATTCTTGGGACCTTAATTTTGGAGAGCCAAGCTCCCTCTTTCACGGCCTTGGCCACCTTCCACATCTTCCTAGTGGACGCCTTGTAAATCAAAGGTGCAATCTCCCAAGGCCGCACCCCATTGAGCCAAGGAGCACTACTAGGGAAAAGCTTATAGGCAGATGCTTACTAGTAGCGAGGGTTAAAAGTAACAGGTTTTTAACCCTCGCTACTAATAAGCTTTCTCTATCATGCCCCCCGGGACATGCCATAGTAATAGTAAGGGGTATAAACCCGCGCTACTACTATGTTGATAGTAGTAGCGTGGTTTTATACCCTTCGCTACTGCTAAGTACGAGATAGGTGAAGTTCCCATATCCTCGGTCAAATCCCTCCTCTCTCCTTCACTCTCCCCCCTTTCTTCATAGGCTCTCCCATGGTGCTACACACCTCCTCCTCCATGGCACCCAACGAGTTCATCTCCTTGCGTCGCGTACCTCCTCCTCCATGGCGCCAAAAGAGGGAGGCCGCCTCGCGCCGCTGGCGTCCCGGAGCTCGCCGGTCTTCCCCGCATCTCCATGCCACCACGTCGGACCACCTCACCACCAGCGACGAGCCCGGTGCGCCCTCCATCTCATTCCTTTCTTCCTTGTTTCTCCTTTTCCCTTTCCATGTCCCTCCGGTTTTACTCACCTCCCATGCCCATGCTTGCGCAGGTCGTCGACATGGCCAACGAGGAGCTCTTTGCCTTGGCCGTGAAGAGGACCCTCACACCGTCGTCTTGCTCTCCTTTGCACTGGATGCGGTCCCTCTACAACAACCATCGCTGGATCTGGTCTCTGCTGCCCATCCACACCTCCGGCGACCCTTGTCGTCACTGGATCGAACC